TCCACTGCATATAAGGAAAATCAATATAAAATGTTTTATAGATGGCACATGCCACGTGAGAAACTGGCAAAAATGTTTAAAGATAAATCAGCCAAATGTTGGAAATGTCACCAGTTACCAGGTTCATATTACTGGGTATCCTCCCTGAAAAAGTTAGTAAAGAAAATATTTACTTGATTACACATGTAATAACAGCTGCAAGGATTGTTTATGCACAAAACTGGAAAGCAGAGAAAATATCTTTGAAAGAAGAATTTAAAAAAAATTAGACTGTGCAGAAATGAATAGATTGACTTTGATGATTAAAAAAAGAGAAGAGTCAGAATACTTTAAGATATGGAATCAATTTTACCATTGGTTAGAAAAGAGATACAAATAACTAAATTAATAGTTATGTATAAAAAGTGCTACGATTAGAATATTGTACAAGAATGGGCAAGAATGAAGACAGAAGAAACAACAAAAAGAAGAATTTTTGGAGACAACACCGAGATGTCACATGGAAGGAATGACTGATGTATTAAATGTTTATTTGTCTAAAAAATAAAAAAACTTTTTTTAAAAAAAAAATTGTAAATATTTTCTTTGTAAGCTGTTGACATGGTCAATTTATAGTTTCTTTCCCAGAATTTTTGCCATTTATCTAATTCTATAATATATCCAAAATTTTTGGACCATACTATCATAGTTTCTTTTACTTGATCTTCTTCCATTTTGAAATTCAATAGATAACTATATTTTTTTTTTATTTGTCAGCCCTCCCTAAAAATATCTGATCTAATTCTGAAGGTTCTTTGTAAAATCTGTACATTTCTGCATCTTTCTTGTATCTTGATTAAGATGTTCCCCTTTCAAATCACATGACATTTGTTCGAATTAGGCTCACCGTGTCCTCCCCTCTATATGGGTTGAATCCAATACTATTGTGAAAAGTTCTGGTTATCTTTCAGGGTATGAATTCTGAAGCCATTCCAAATTATACCCCTAGGCTTGGAGACCAAAGTCCACTGTTTCACAAAATCCAACAACATCTTTACAATGAGATCAGGAAGCTAAGGTAAAGCTATTACTGTGGTGAGTATATCACTCCACTTATCCCTGGAGAGCGTATATGATGACTCACTGCCGCCAGGTAGGCGTTGCTCAGTGGGCATGGCTATCTGAGTGCCACCAGGTAGGCGTGGATGGGTGGGCATGGCCATGTTGATGTGAAGAATTAGGTACAGCCGGCTCAGCGCAGATGACTCTTGGAGGCTGAGTTGGTGCGGCTGGGTGGGCATAGCCTGGTGGACACGACCGTGCGGGTATGGCCAAGTGAACAAAAATCGTGCTGGCAAATAGGAAGTAGGGAAGCTGCAAAATTTGAAAGGCAAAGGGTAGATTCCCCCCCTCCCCCCAATTTGGTAAAACACTCCCTTTTTCTTTCTGCTTCCCAGGAGAAGTTCCTCTGCTAAGTTGATTCACAACATGGAGTATATCAGGATGATGAGTGCTGGATGTAACTTCTACATTTCTTTAGAGTTATAAATTCTCATAAAGTACATCAATTTGCAGAAATCTCACTGAATCAGAAAAGGGATTCATCATTCCCCATTGGTCAAATCCACACAAATGGGGAAGGGGAGGATGGAAAATGAGAAGGAGGGAATAAACAGGAGGGGAGGGTGGATGTTTTATATTTTCAGTACAGTTTGACATAATTCTTGCTGTGCCTCTTCCCCCACCCAAAAAAAATACCCCGACAATTTGATTTTGGATACCACTGTCCATCTCTACATTCTGATATTCTTTTTGGAATATGAGGCAAACTACTTTTACAGTTATATACCATGTGTTATGCTTTATCCGGGTACTAAATTTTTAGATTACCACGATGCATTTAATAAAAGCCAAACATTTTTTCCTAGTTCTTATTCCAGCCATTTATTTCTCTTGCCCTGCACATGTAGTGTTGGGAAATACAGTGCATAGAACATGTACCAGTTTGTTTTCTTTGATTTCCAGACTTTATTGGTCTATGTCTTCCTTATCGGTGTTTCCCACAGTTAAGGCAAAAAGGTCATAAAAAATCCCAACTAAATGTAGTATCCTGATTTCCCTGTTTTTAATCTACCTGACCATAAACTAGGCAAATGTCTCTTTTGTTTATGGGTATGCACATCATTCCTTTGGACCTATCAGGCAAGAGATCCTTATCTGGCCATCCTGCCACAATTACAAGCAAGAGTAGCATAAGAACATAAATCATAAGAATATGAAAAACTACAGTGATAACCCAAGCCTTGTGTTATCCTGCATGGACAGTCACTTGTCTTAAATGGTATAGGGCACGGGTGCCAAACTCAATCACATCACGTGATGTATCATGACTCTTTTGCCTTTGTGGAGCCGAGGTAGGCGTGGCCTGTGTGTGATGCATCCGGCCTGCAAGCCGCCAGTTTGACACTATAGGATAATATAATTGATATTATAGGGTCTCCTGCTGGAGCAGGGGTTTAGACTAGAAGACCTCCAAGATCCCTTCCAGCTCTATTCTAATTGATCAATAAAGTGAGAACTTGATATCTATGAGAAGGCCATCCCAATTTGCCTTTCCAGTGGCTGGATGGCTGAATTTTTAACCATCCTTACTAACAAATATAGATAAACAAAACCTAGCTTAGATGAAGTTGGCTAGCCCCTTTTAAGGCTATTTGCTGATGGCTTTAGCCACATTTTATGTTACCAGATTTCATTGTCTATGCACAGTATGTGACAAACTATGCACAGTATGTGACGATGTACTTGAGCCTCTCCCTTGCCAGCCAAACTTAGTAGAGGAACCTGGGAAGCAGAAAGAAAAAGGAAGGGTTTTACCTAATTGGTGGGGGAGGGGGGAATCCACCCTTTGCCTTTCAAATTTTGCAGTGTCCGTACTTCATGTTTGCAAGCACATCTTTGGGTGATTTTTGTTCTGGCGGGGTGCTGAGTTGGCTCAAGTTGCCCTGGGCGACTTGTTCTGAGTCCACCTGGCCATGCCCAACAGGCAATCCCCTGGTCACACCCAAATGTTTGCGTCCACCTGGCCATGCCCACCCAGCCGCCCCAAGTCAGCCACCCCAAGTCAGCTGCACTGAGCCGGCTGCATCTAATCCTTCACATTGACCTGGTCACACCCACCCATGCCCACCTAGTGGCACTCATATGGCCATGCCCACCTGGCTGCTGTCAGTCATCCCATTCCCCCTGGAGACAGATCTCAATAATATTCAGTTATCTTCAGAGCAGAGTACATGATAACAGACAAAATCTCTCAAGGGATCTCTGCCAACCCCCCTTATTTTCCTTCCTTTCCTTTTTATCTTTTCCTTTCCTTTTATTTTTGCTTATTACTCCTTATAATGCAGATAATTTTATGCTTTGTTTCTGACTCTGAACCGCGGTGATCAAACAGTAAGTTTAAATCCAAGTGCCAATCTTATAAGTAGGCAAAGTGGCCCACAGACTAGATTAAGTTGGACAGCTCCAATTAAACTTTATCCAGATATGTATGTTTTACACCAATAATAGAAGCTGCAAAAAACATTTTCCCTGCCATCCCCTCATATTTTGGCACAGATTTTGCATGTCTGATCAGAAAATCAGACTTAACTGTTGGATTCTTTTTGAGGTAAACATACTCAAGTCCTGAGAAATAACTTGGCCTTTAATTGCCACATGAGTCAGAAAACAACTATGCAGAGAACAAGAGGGATGGGATCTTTTTACTATTTTGGGGGCACGTGTGCTGTAGCTTTAGGTTTTTCTCTTCTTCCAAATTATTAGTTGAGTGGGAAGAAAAAGGTTCAGTCTGAATGGTGAGAGGAAGAATTAGCCTTTCTCACTGAGGAAGAGAATATACCATACCAAACCATACTACGTTAATCAAGCAACTTCAGACTTAGTGACAAATTATGTGACAAAATAGCTTGTAACTGCCGTGTTTCTCCAAAAAGATGACACACCCTGAAAAGCAGCACTATCACGTTTTTGAGTGCATGTGATCAAATTAAGCCCCACCTACAAAATTAGCCCCAGATGCAGGGGGTGGGGTGAGGTACACAGGTAAAAAATAAGCTAGGGTGGAGATGAGAGGTGGTGGAGCTGCCCTACTTACCAGGCCTCGCACACCCTGCCTCGCCTTTTTCTGCAGCCGCTTGCCACCACTTGCACCCATCGCCCTGGCCTCGGTTTTGCCTTCAGATGCCTGTTGGCATCTGTTATCTGCAGCTGATAACAGAGCTCCAGATCAGTCCAGAGCTCTTATTATCGGCTGCAGAGAGCTTTTCAGAAGGTATCTGCAGTCGATAACAGAGCTCCAGATCGATCCGGAGCTCTGTTATCAGCTGCGGATGCTTTCCGGCAGGGATCTGAAGGTGAAACAGAGGCCGGGGCAATACGTGCAAGTGGTGGCAAGCGGCTGCAGAAGAAGTGGGCCAGCAGCGGGCTCCTGCTGGGCAGGGCTGTTGGTGCTACCACTGCGAGGTGAGTCAATAATTAGAACCCTCCAAAAAGAAGGCCTGGCTGTTTTTCCGGGGGTCAAAAGAAAATAAGACCCGGCATTCTTTTTGTAGAAACACAGTACTATTTTTTGTCAATAGAACTGAAAGTATTGGTGAACATTCTCTTATGATCTGCTGTTCCTTAATCTGTCTTAATCTGCTCCAAAGTTGAGTAAATTCAGTGTGTGTCCAAATTGCCATGGCAAAGGGGGAGAAGAGCAAGTCCTACTGTAGTTTGATAATTAGCACTGAAAGTAATATTACATAATTTCAAAACGAAAGAACCAAGTGGCAAAATAAAAATAGTAACAGCAAGAAAAAACAGAGATACATCATTTTCATTAAAGGAATACCATATAATCCACATAAAGCAATTTTGATAAAAGCAAGCATAACATGTAAAAAATGTTTCCCTGATTTTGGGCAATTTGTCATGATGCAAGCATCCCCTTTTGTTAGAAAGAAAATAAAGTAACATACCCGTGGATTCTCCATGTTTAATTTCTTCAGCAGTCCGGTCTATGAGGACATAGAGTGACCACACCACACAAGTGATAGCAATGATATGGAAAGTTACAGAGCATATGATCTTTCTTTGCTCACTGCCTGTCATCTGCAGTTTCTCCCACTAAGAAGAAATCCAGAAAATAGAAGTGTTCAGTTTTGTTGTCAAAGAATAAAGTGATATTTGCTGTCTAGTCAGAAACCTTTATTTTATTGAATTTGACCCTGATGGCAGATGATCAAGCAAGCACACACAGCTTACATATGGATATGATACACTGTTCTGTATTATGTTAAGTCCTTCATCAACCAACGGCATCTGAGGGCACTCTGGTAGCATGCGTTCTCTGTCATAATGCCTGTCATTTGCATTTCTTCAAAGATTTAAAAGACGCTGATTATAAGGTCTTGCCTCTCCGATCTTCCCAAGAAAGCAGGACTCTTGAAACTGCAATGGTTCCAAAAGGAGCTTTTATTGGAAGGTTTGTGATAACAAGAGATCTAGGCAAGAACTGAAACTTCTCATTTAAAACCAGCTATTTAAAACAATGCTAACCAAACCCCTCCCACACTACATCATTGCAGGGAAATAGAAACAGAGACTTCATATAAAGATTAATACAGTAATGCAAGAAACAGAAACAGAAACTTCATATACAGACCACTCCATTCTTCCCCCCTTACTCCCCCCAAGATGCAAGCATCCCTGTAGAAATATCTGGGACCTGGATGGCATGCCTTCTTATGGGACAGAGAGAATAAATCTCATTTATATTTTTTTCAACATAAAATATGAGAAGCTCTAATGCAAGTATGGCAAGAAATTAAGAAAAAACATTATATGAAAATTCCTAGCTGGGTCTCAACGATGGAAGCAATGATTCATCCCAATACCTTAGATATAAGCAAAATGGCCAAATACAATTAAATTCTGGACAGGCAGGGAAATTTAAAAAAATAGGCAAGAATTGGAAGAACAGGGAATAAAAATAGACTGGTGGCCATATTTGCAATCAATATCACGATATTCAAAAGATAAAGATTAATATGGAATTGAAATGCAGCCACAACAACTGGATAAAATATTGATTGGCCCGGATGAAAAATTAATAACCAAAATTTATAACTATTTACTAGAATTTGATAGAGCCGAAGACATAGTAAAGGGAACTATGATAGCCTGGGCAAAAAATGTTGGGCACAATATTGAATTAGAGGATTGGGAATACAAATTATAAACTAACTAGGTCGGCAAAATATAAAGAAAATCAATATAAAATGCTTTACCGTTGGTATTTGGCACCTTCTAGATTGGCAAAAATATATCCAAATTTAAATCCCAATTTTTGGAAATGTGGACAAAAGCAAGATACCTTCTTTCATACATGGTGGTTATGCTCCGAAACAAAAAAATATTGGATGAAAATACATAGTTGGATACAAGAAGTAAAAGGCTTCCAGATAGAATACTGTTCTAGGAATAATGAAAAGATAATACGAAAAAACCCCCAACATATATTATTCTACACATGATAACTGCAGCAAGATTGGCCTTTGCGCAATGTTGGAGAAGCTCAAATATACCCTCTGAAGATTTAATAATTAGAAAGATATTGGATTGTGCCAAGATGGACCAAATGACACTTGAATTGAAAGGATTGATGGACTCGGATTTTTACGTAATATGGGAGAAATGGTATAATTGGATCGAAAATAGAAAAAAAGGAAAACAATAGAATGTAGATTTAATAAAAATATATAGAGTATAGATGAATACTAGTGTGATGATATGTAAATGGTCACAGTCATGCACAAGAGTTGAATAATGATTGTTTAATTGTAAAAATTCAATAAAATGGGGGGCAGAGGTCACCTATGAGGTTCCTCACTTGTGGGGTGCCCCAAGAGTCGGTCCTCTCACCTCTCTTGTTCAACATCTATATGAGGCCGCTTGGGAAGATCATCCGTGGTTTTGGGGTGCGGTATCATCAGTACGCTGATGATACCCAGCTTTTTATATGCACCCCAAACCAGCCCAGTGATGCCCTTGATGTGATGTCCCGCTGCCTGGAAGCGGTACGGACCTGGATGGGGAGGAACAGGCTCCGACTCAACCCCGCCAAGACTGAGTGGCTGTGGGTACTGGCATCTTGGTCTGATCGAGATATTCCGGTTGGCTCCGTGCGTGTCGCAGACGCTCCTCCATGAGCTCCCGATCCCCGGCATCATAAAAGCCGCCAGAATAGCCGAAAAACAGCTGTCTGGCGGCTTGGAAACTTTCTTCCCGGGCAAAGGGGAGAGAGAAGAGCCGACAGGTGAAGGTAGAGCTCCCCAAGTGCCCTAGGAAAAGTTCTGGGGCGCGAAGGGTGAGAGCTCCCTAGAAGCCTGTCAATCTGCTCCGGACCTGGGACAACTCTGCTATTTAGCGGAGCAAGACGCCGCGACCAATTCTGCCAATAACAAATGAAGGGATTTCCAACATCCTAAATTGCTACAGGCAGAACAAGCCAGGAGAAGTCAGACTGCAAGTATCTAAACTTAACTCCAATGTTTCTTACCTCCTTTGGAAATAACAACTTAGCAAATTTGTAACAAGATGGCGATTGAGGCTTGAAAGGGCGTGGAAAGTGAAAGTTAAAGGAAAGTTTCGTTTCGCTGGTAGCCTCTTGCTTGAAAGAACTTTTGTACTGAGAGAAGGAGGATTTTAAGACACTAATTTAAGACTGGGAAAATTTTTGACTTTGTTGAACTCTTCTTTTTGGCTTCTGATTAAAATACAAAAATTAACTTAAACTGAAAAATGGCCTCAAAACCTGTAAAGACTGTTCCTATTAAAGGAACTGGGAGTGCCGGAAGCTCTCCAGCCCACACTTCTAGAATGCAAGCCTCTGTTCCCCCAACAGATCCACAGATTTTAACGTTTGAAATGATACAAGAAGCCCTAAAAGCTACACAGGATAAAATTGCTACTGTGATTAATCAAAAAATTAATGAAACTAATGAAAAAATACAGTCTGTTCCAGATGAGATTGCAGTTCGGAATCAGGAAATTAAGGATGATATAATACTGGCATTTAAAGGTTTGGCAGGTCACATTGAAATTTTGGATGATAAAGTTGAAGAAATTAAGCAATCTACAGAAATTTTGGATAATAAATTAGGAGAGACTCAGAATAAAATTGAAAGGGCTGAAGCTGATGTAACAGTGATTCAATACAGAGATATGGAATTTGCTCTAAGAATAAGAGGGGTGAAGGAGAACAAACAAGAGAATTTGAAAGAGATGATGTCAGAGGCATTGGCACAGATGTTGGGGGAGCAGAAAGTGGAGTTAGGCTGGCAGATTGACAAGATATATCGTGTCAATTCGTGGGTGGCTAGACAGAAAAATTTACCAAGAGACATTGTAATATATTTTACCACAAGGAGACTACGCAATGAAATTTTACAGGCTACCTTTAAAAATAAGCTTCAAGTGGAAGGCCAGGAGGTGAAGACAATGAAAGAAATCCCCCCCAAAATGTTGAGAGCCAGAAGGGAGTATGCTTTTCTGGTGGATGAACTGAGAAAACGCCAAATACAGTATAGATGGGAAGTGCCAGCCGGCCTAGTGGTGAACTATTCGGGTGAGAGATATCGGCTTAATACAGTATGGAAAGCAAGAGATTTTTATGCCAATGTGTTAAAGGCTGGACCACCAAAATCACCAGAAGTTAAAAGAAAGAAGGAAGTAATGGAAGGAGAAAGAGAAGAGCTGATGACAATAGTTCAGGGGGGAGCCTCGACCAGTCAAGAAGATTTGCTACAAATTCAGATTGCTGTTCAAGATTTGGAATTAATTGATATATCAGAAGAACCAAAGGATCAAAGACAGACCAGAGCAGCAACAGCTAAACGTAAGGAAGAATTAAGACTGCAACAACTCCAGATGGCAACTCAAGGAACTACAAAAACAGAAGCAGTGGGAGGAGCCAGACCTAAAGGTCAAATGAGGCAAGATCATCAGCGAATGCTCCAAATGCTTCAGAGGCCCAAAGATGGGAACTAGATTTCTAACTTGGAATGTCAATGGTTTGAATTCTCCACAGAAGAGGAGAAAAATATTTCATTATCTTAAACAATTTAAAAATGATGTAATTTGTTTACAAGAGACTCATATTAGGATACAAGATCAAAAATATTTAACAAACACAAGACTAGGAACACATTATGTAGCGGCAGCACCAGAAAAGAAAAACGGTATAGTTATATATTTGAAGAGAGACTTAATTACCAAATTAATTGAAGCAGATGATCAAGGAAGATTTTTAGCAATTGAACTTTTAATAAAAGGAGAAAAATTACTTTTAGTTGGAGTATATGCCCCGAACCAACAACAAGAAAAGTTTTATAATCTTTTACACTCAAAGTTGACACAATGGGGATACAAAACTTGTATCCTACTGGGTGATTGGAATGGTATTTTAGATGTTAAAAAGGACAAGAAGGGACCTAAGCAAAATGTTTTAACAAGAGCAAGATTGCCCAAATCGTTTTTGGAGATGATGGATGATTGGGAGTTGAGGGATATTTGGCGTGAAAGAAACCCAGAAGAAAAAGACTTTACTTTCTTTTCGGATAGACATCAATCCTTTTCAAGGATTGATTTTATACTAATTACTAACGACCTCTTTTCTAGGGTGAAGAGTACGAAGATTTGTTCGAGAACATTGACAGACCATAGTCCAGTCTGGATGGAACTGGAGTATGGAAAGGGGCTTAGGAGGTCCTGGAGGTTAAATGATAATTTGTTTAGATATGAAGAAAATGTAAAAGAGTGTAAAAAAATTATGAAAGAATTTTTTGTTATGAATATGCAAAAGGGTACATCTATGGAAATGGTGTGGGATGCAAGTAAAGCATATATGCGAGGTATTTTGATATATTTGAATAATAAATATAGAAAGAAACGGGGAAAAAGAAAGGAATTAGAAGAAGAGATTAAAAAACAAGAAAGAGCTTTGATAGTTAATCAAACAGATAAGAAAATTAAAGAGGTAATTAATTTACTGAAAGGTCAATTTAATATGTTAATAGCAGATCAAGTGGCAACTAATTTAAAATATGCTAAACATAATACTTTTT